TGATCACCCCCTCTCCCACTCCCTGTGCCCCACACCCCCCTGTGGGTCCTATGCCCGCCTCCAGCACCCCACTGCATCCCACAACACCCCCCCCCCCGTGGGTCCTGTGCCCCCCCAGTGCACCCCACACCCCGCCAGTGTCTGTACCCCCAGCACCCCACTGCACCCCACACCCCCCCGTGGGTCCTGTCCCCCCCCCAGCACCCCACACCCCCATGGGTCCCCCAGCACCCCACACCCCCCCGTGTCCCCACACCCCCTGACCTCCACCCACAGTCCCTCCCTGGTGTCACTGGGACGGGTGGCCGTGGGGACCAGGGAGGGCCCAGCGCCTTGGGGCCATACCAGCACCGCCGCATCCCCCTGATTTGGGGTGTCCCCCCCCCAACTTGGGGTCCCCCCTACACTTTGTCCCCTCCAGTCTCGACTCTTCCCACCCCATTCAACCCACTTCCCACCACCCGGCTCCTCCAGCTCCACCAGATCTTTCCTCACCGTGACGCCCATCGGCACCTCTCCACGCCGTGTCCCCCCCCCCTATTTTCACGTGTAACGAGGGGGCACCCCGATGTCCTGAGCACCCCAAGAATGAAGCCTAAAATGGTTGAGTGGGACACAAAACATCCGAGCAGGGACACCCAGCCAGGGTGACACCTGGGTTGAGGACACCTGGAGAACCTGGAGCAGCTTCTGCCCCGCGCCCAAAAATTTGGCGTTACTGAAGGAACCGGGAGAAGCCGCTCATTGGCTTCAATTCGGATTCGGCTGGATGAGGCGCTGGGCCACCTTGTCTAGACTGAGCTTTTCCCCAGAAAGGTTGGACCAGATGATCTTTGAGGTCCCTTCCAACCTGGGATCCTCTGATTCAATGAGTTTTCAGGAGGTGACATGGTTGGTCGCGGTATGAAATGTTTTTTGCGGTCCCTTCCAACCTGGGATCCTCTGATTTGATGAGTTTTCAGGAGAGGACAAATTCAGTCATGGTACGAAATGGTCTTTGAGGTCCCTTCCAACCTGGGATTCTCAGATTCGATGAGTTTTCAGGAGGTGACACGTTCAGACACGGTACAAAAAGACCTTTGAGGTCCCTTCCAACCTGGGATTCTCAGATTCGATGAGTTTTCAGGAGAGGACAAGTTTGGTCACCGTATGAAATGGTTTTTGAGGTCCCTTCCAACCTGGGATTCTCTGATTTGATAAGTTTTCTGGGAGAGGACAAATTCAGTCACCGTATGAAATGGTCTTTGAGGTCCCTTCCAACCTGGGATTCTGTGATTTGATGAATTTTCAGGAGGTGACAAGTTCAGACACGGTACAAAAAGATCTTTGAGGTCCCTTCCAACCTGGGATTCTCTGCTTCGATGAACTGTCTGGAGGAGACACGTTCCGTCACGGTACGAAACCACCCGGAAAACCTTTTATTCCCTTCCAAGCCCCAGCGTAATTCCTGACTTGCAAATCTGAAGGAATTTGGCTGATTGTTCTCCTGGGTGTCTCACCGAGACGGCGCTGGCGTCGGCGTCTCTGGTGAAGGGGTGCCCATGCCTGGGGCTCCCAGGTGCTGGCAACAAAGCAGCTCCTCATCTCATGATCTCCACCACGGCCGTAACATCTTGTTGGTGTTCAGCCGGTGGCTTTTTGGAGCAGAAAGACCCAAGAACATCGTGTTTTCTCCTCCAAGCTCCTCCGAGATGTGCACAGTGCAGGACAAAGCCTGGGAAATGGCGAGTTATCAACGTTTTGGTGTTTTCCTGTGGCTTCTTTCTCCTGCTGCTTCAGATTAATGTTGCTCTTTTCATAGTTTGTGGGGTTTTTTTTGTTTTGTTTTGTTTGTTTTATTTAGTGTTGGGCTGTTATTAGTTTTTTTTTTTCAATTTTATCTGATTTAGACAGAATAAAAGAGCAGTCACCTCCTTCCCTCTGAGCACCCTGATCCAAGAAGGACCATTACCATCATCTTCGCTTACGCCAAGGAGAGATGTGATCCTGCGCGGAGGCTGCTGGAAACCGAAGTGATTTGGTCCACGTGCTCTTCGCCGCAACCTCAGAAGAGATCTGGTGAAGGGACTGGATTAAAACCAGCCCCAAAACGTGCCTGGACGAACTCAACGTCAACGTGGGTGTGATGGGATGGGCCACGGAGCAGTTTTATGGTATGTCTGACACAGGGCTCTGCTCTCAAATGACAACTTTGCTGGAGGACACCATCCGCTGCTCCAGCGGGGTCTCCTTGTGTCCGAGCACCCCATGAACACATTGCTGTACGCAGGAAAGTCCTCCTCATGTCACCTCCTGCGTGGGCTGGCTGCTGCAAGAGGGATCAGGACGTCTCCGGAGGGTTTAGCACCCAAGGGTGCCCCCAACATTCACTCCACATCCAAACCTTGAGACATCACCCCTGGTTCCTGGGGGCCTGGGCTCCATCGCCCACCACCAGCGCTTCAACACCATGGTGGGATCCAGGCAGTGGAGCATGGATTGACCTCAGCAGTGACTGGGGCAGCCCCAGTTTACCCCAGACTCTGTCCCAGTAACCACCAGTTTGCAGGGAATTCACTGCTGTTCCTTGGAGGACCGGCGTGGGCTTGGCAAACCGTGCAAGGAAACCAAACACGTAGGCCAGAAGGATTTAGGCCTAACACAGGTTCTCCCCACCCAACATCCTTCCTCCCATTCCTGAGCCACAAAGTTGACCAGGACCCTTGTCCCCAACCCTTTGGAGCTGGGGGTCAAAAGCAGAGCCATGACCCCCACCCAAAACCTTGGGACAGCAGAGCAGAGCTCGACGCGGGCAGAGATGTCTTCTGCTGTGACTCGCTGCTGCCGGTGCGGCATTGATCTAGGACTTGGTGACGTGAAGACGCGTGTCCCTGACTAACCCTGGCCGTCACTTGTCCCCAGGTTGGCTGATCCGTGCTCCGGAGAGGACCTGTGACTCACGGTGGTGGTGGAGCTGCTCTTCTCCACTTGCATCCTCGGGGAAGGATACCGCCACCATGACGTATGTGATGACCACGCAAGCCCATCTGCAAATCAGCCCTCCTCCTAACGAGGCAGCGGGGAGAGCCCAGGCTTGAAGGAGGTTTAGCCAGGTTGTCCCCAGCCAGGGTTGACCCCTGCTTTGGGATTGCTGACCCACGGCGTGGTGCACAACCTACCTTTGATTTAGTTTGCTCTCTAAATCCCCGCTTCGTTAGAAAAAGGAGGGGGAAGGTAAATGGTTTGGAGGGATGGAATTGTGCCACTGTGCTGCCCGCTCTAGGAAACAGCTCAAAACAGTCAGGACCTGGATGGCCACAAACTGGGTCTCCAGGAACCCACCTTGCTCCTCTGGCTTTGAGCAGGTTTCTCGACCTAGCATGACTCAGCAGAGCCATCCCACAGCATGTCTCACAGACAATATAATTTCTCCTTCAACTCTACTTTTTTCCAGCAAGCCTGCCTCATGCTTTCTGGTGGGTCTCATAGGCATCGGGGAAGGGGCTTCACCAGCATCCCCACAGCTGGGACATGAGGTGACTCTGTGGGATGATCAGAAATGTCCCTTTCAGCTCTTTTCGCCACTTCTTTCCCCCTGTCACCTACCTCAAGCTGGAGAGGGGACCTCTGTGTCCCACACCCAAACACAAGTAATTGGCAACCAAGAGGGAGCAGCCAGAGCTGGAGACGGGCACTCAGGGGACATGCTGTGGTCCCAGCAGCCACTTGGTAAGAACTCAAAGGATCACAGGATGGTTGAGGTTGGAAGGGACCTCTGGAGCTCATCTGCTCTGACCCCTCTGCTCAAGCAGGGCCACCCCGAGCTGGTTGCCCACGACTGTGTCTGGATGGCTTTTCAATGTCCCCAGAGATACAGACCCCACCACTTCTCTGGGCAACCTGGGCCACTGCTCTACACCCTCACAGGAAAAAAGTGTTTCCTGATGCGCAGAGGGAACCTCCTGTGTTTCAGTTTGTGCCCAGGGCCTCTGGTCCTGGCACTGGGCAGCACTGGAGAGACCCTGGCTCTGTCCTCTTTGCACCCTCCCTTCAGGTACTTCCAGACATTGTTGAGATCCCCCTGGGTCTATCTTCTCCAGCTTGAACAGTCCCAGCTCCCTCAGCCTTTCCTCACAGTAGAGATGCTCCAGTCCCTCCATCATTGCCACGGCCCAACACCGGACTCTCTCCAGTACGTCCATGTGTCTCTGGTACTGGGGATCCCAGAACGGCACACAGTACCCCACGTGTGGCCTCACCAGTGCTGAGATGTGCTGGCCGTGCTCCTCCCAATGCAGCCAAGGACGCTGTTAGCTTTCTTGGCAGCAAGAGCACGTTGCTGCCTCGCGTTCAGCTCGGTGTCCACCAGGACCCCCAAGGCCTTTTATGCAGAGCTGCTTTCCGGCTGCGTGACCCCCAGCATGTCCCAGTGCCTGGGGTGATGTCTCCCCAGATACAAGACTTTGCATTTCCCCTTCTTGAGCTGCAGAAGGTCCCTGGAGTGGTTCTGAACAACAGGAGGCTGAGGGGACCCTTATGGCTCTCTACAACTCCCTGAAAAGAGGTGACAGAGAGGTGGATGTTGGCTTATTTTCCCAACAACAAAGTGAAAGGATGAAATGAAAGTCTCATGTTGTGCCAGTGGAGGATTAGATTGGATATTAGGAAACATATCTTAACTGAAAAGTTTGCCTAGCATTGGAACATGCTGCCCAGGGAAATGGTTGAGTCACCATCCCTGGAGCTATTTAAATGATGTGTAGATGTGCTGTTTAGGAATGTGGTTTAGTGGTGGACTTGGTAGCTTTACGTTAATGGGTGGACTTGACGATCCTAAGGGCATTTTCCAACCTAAATTATTCTATGCTGGTCTCTCTGGTTGCTGTTGCTGGGGACATACTCAATAGGTGAGGTCTTGTAGCCCCTTTCCACCCATGCCACTTGGTTCCTGGGACCTGGCTTTGTGCTGGGTGAGTTTGGACGAGCCTTGGGAGAAGAGAAGAAGTGGAGGCATTTCAGGCTGGGATGCAGGAGAAATTTATTGAGAGAAAAAAACAGGGAGAATGCAGGATCGCTGAGTGGAAGGGAGCTGGTCTGATGGAGAAGTACGGCGACCATCAGCCAAGGTCCCTTGCATGCAGTAGATCACCCAGCTATTCCTGTTCTGCAGTGGGAGCATCCCACCAGCGGCCTTGATGGCCTTTCTCTGCTGAGAAGGTGTTTGCAGCGGAGAATATTGGACATAGCAGGAGTGGCGATGCAAAGAAGACAGTTGGAGAACAGGAGGAGGTACATGGGTCATGTTTCCAGGAAACCGCAGCTACCCCATCCTTGCTTCCTTATTTAATGCATAGAGAGGAGGAGCCGTTGATGTTGAGCTCGTGTGTCAAGGGCCCTTAGCAGGGGTAGCAGCCTCTCCCGGCGCCGAAGCAGCCCAGGCCGCCCAAGCCGTAGCCGTAGCCGAAGCCTCCGGAGGAGACGGGCACTCCCTGGGAGCTGAGGACGTTGCCCACGGCAGCCGATGAGGAGGATCCGACGGCGGTGCTCTGGGGGAAGGAGCTGAGGATGGGTCCTGGCAGGGTGACGAGCACGGTGGAAGGCTGGATGACGACGCGGGAGTCCTCGCACTGCCTGACACAGGGCTCGTTGCAGCTGTTAGCCAGCGGGGTGGGTCCGCAGGGGCGGCAGAGGTCGGAGCAGGCCATGGCTGTGGTGTGGAGGGGCCCTGGAAGAGAGGGGGGTGAGAAAGCGGAGGGGCGGTGGTGCAGGAGGGCGAGGGAGTGGGGAGGCGTGGTGTGGGGCTGTGGGGAGCGTGGCTGCGGGGAGGCGTGAGGGCTGCTGAGGCTGGGGCCAGCAGAGCGTGCTGGAAGAGCCGGGCCAGGCAGGCCAGGAGAAGGAGGGGAAGGGGGTTGAGGCTCACCTTGTTGAGCGCGGAGGAGAAGGCGTCAGGAGAAGGGTGTGAGGGAGAGAGGCGCTGGGCCGGCTTTTATGCGGGTGCCCAAGGGGCGGGACAGCCTTTGCGCGTGACGGCATTTTGCAGCAGGCGGCTCTTGTGTGCCACGACCTCGCCAATGATGAGGTGGGGTGTGTTTCCCTTCCCGCAACGCCCGTTTCGTGTCCTTCTCTTGAGGACGTGTCCTTCTGACCTTGGCGGCAACATTTAAGTACAAATAATAGAGGAAACAGACTCAGTCTTGGTTGTGTTTGAGAGAACATTTGGTAGATGTTGCCAAAATGTAGATGTGCTTGTCAACAGTGAGGTCATCAGGATGCATTCGTGTGTTGTGGCTTGCGGTATGTTGTGTAATGGGGTCTCCAGTTCCTCACAGCCCTGGAAATCTGGTCTGTTCTTTGCAGTTGTGTCAGGCACAAGGCATTGACCCTGCCATGGCGTTCAGTCCCTCCCCACCTCACCGCCAGCTCGCTAAACCTTTCTGTAGCCCTGGCCTTTTGGCTATCTGCTCTGTGTGTGTGTCTTGTTGCCCCTCTGGCTTGTTAGGCTGTGGCTGGGAGGAAGGCGGCTGCCTGTTTGGGCTTGCAGCCCCTTGGGGCAGTCCCTGGGGGTGGCGGTGCCAGCAGGCAGAGGTGGGCTGTTTGCGAGAGCAGGCCGTTGGCCTGGCAGCCCTGGTTCAGAGCTGGCAAGCCCTGTGCTGTGGGGAGGCCTGCCCTGCTCCCCAAAGGATTGGGTTGGCCTGCCAGAGCACTCCCCCGAGCCGGGGCTGGGAAATTTACAGTGTGGGCCTTGGCGTGATGCATCCAAATTAGAGCAGTGAAGCTGCTGAATGGACTATAAAAGAAGAATAAATGGGGAATGCTTGAAGAACTTTGGGTGGTTTGTTTCCAGAAAAGGAAGACGGAGGGTAGATGTTATTGCTGTGTACAACTACTTGAATGAAGGTTGTACGGAGGTGCCTGTCAGTCTCTTATTTCTAGTAACGAGAGATAGAGGAGGAAACAGCTTCCAATTGTGCCCAGGGAGCTTTGGTTTGGACATGAGGAACAATTTGTGCACCCAGAGTGTCATCAAGCTGTGGAGAAGGTTGCGCAGGGAAATGGTGGAGTCCCCATCCCGGGTGGTATTTGATAGAGGTTTAGATGTGACACTTAGGGACATGGTTAGTGGCAGAGTAGTAGTGTGAGGTTAACATTTGGACTCAATGCTCTTAAGGGTTTTTTCCATGCTAAAGGACTCTGTGATTGCACATGGGTCACCGTGCAGGGAGACGTGAGTTTCTGGAGAGCCCATGAGTGTGGCGAGAGGAGAGGGGGAGTGGGAGGAGCAGGCAGGGGCGGCTGGTGAGCCAGGGCCTTGGGGATTTTCCTTGGGGTGAGGCCATTTCTCTGCACGGTGTCTGGTGGGACGTATGAGAATTTGGTGATTCGTGAGGGGAATTGGAGGCAAGGGTGCTCACGTTTTTGACCATGGAGGAGAAGGCATCAGGAGAAACATGCAAGGCGGTGCGAGAGGGGACTGGGACACGGGACCATCTCTGGCTGACCCGAGAACCCCACCATGAGGGAAGGTGGTGTCACTGGGAGTGCCAGGCAGTTGGCCTGGGGGCCACAGCAAGGGTGAACAATGACAGGGGACCCTACATGGGTGTCTACGGCACCCAGCAGTACAGCGAAGACGGACAGAGTCTGTGGATGCCTTTATTTGCATCAGGTTTTTTTTGGGGGGGATATTATTTTATGAGGGCATTTTCCCTCCCTCTTACCCCTCTGAGTCCCCTAACTGCTGTCATTTGAGATGTTTTGTTTGTTTTTCGCCAGCATTTCTACTCATTCATTCCCTCATTCACAGCCACCCCTCCCAGCAGTTGTTTTGGGGGCTGTTTGGTGAAGATTATCCATTTCTTGTACCAGAAATGTCGATTTTGGAGTCCTGACAGGCACCTTCTGGAAGCTTCCAGGGGCTTCTGCAGCAGCTGGTGCCTGTCAGCTGCCCCCTGATTGGCAGGCTGTTAAGTGCCTTGTGATTGGCTGGCTGCTGAGGGTGCTGAGGCAGGGCCTGGCTGTGGAGCTGAGGCTGGTGAGTTGTGGGAGAGATGGTGAGTGTGGGGAGAGGCCCAGGGGGAGTGGGAACGGCAGGCAGGGGAGGTGGGTTCTGACTTTGGGGTGATTGCCGAGGGGTGAGGCCATTTCTCTGCGCAGTGTTTGTGGGGCCAGAGTGGGATTGGATCCAGTGGAGGGGAAAGGGGAGGCATGCGTGCTGCGTGGGGCTGTGCACCTGAGAACCTCGAGGTGATGTTTGCGTGCCAAAGGCTTGGCGAAGCATAATAGACAAGACTGGACTAGAAGAGTCCAGTTGGAAGGGACGTGCAGTGATCATCTTGTCCAACTGCCTGTTCGCTGCTGGGGTGACGAAGAGGAAGAGCATGTAATTAAGGGCAGTGTTTGTCCAAATGCCTCTTAAACACTGTCAGACTTGGGGCATCGTCCACCTCTCTAGGAAGCCTCTTTCAGTGTTTCGCCACGCGCTCTGTAATGAAATAATTCCTTCTATCTGTCTGAACCTCCCATTGAGGAGGTTCATTTGACCCATTGCCATGAATCCTGTCTCTGGATCTCATGGAGAAGAGCTCAGCAGCTCCCTCTCCACGTCCTGTCCTCTGGAAGCAGCAGAGAGCAATGAGGCTGCCCCTCGGCTTCCTTTTCTCCAGGCTAGATGAACACAGAGTTTTTTGCTGCTCCTTATAGGACTTGCCTTCCAGCCCTGTCATCCATCAGCTTCCTTGCCCTGCTCTGGCTGCTTTCAAGAACTTTAACATCCTTTTTTAAATTGGGGGATCCAATTCTGCCCACGATACTCAAGGTGAGGCTGCAGCAGCGGGGAATCCAGCGGGCTAATCCCCTCCTGTGACCGGCTGGTTGTACTGTGTTGGCTGCACCCCAGGATGCGGTTTGCCCCCTTGGCTGCCAGGCTATGCTGCTGACTCGTAGGGAGCCTGCTGTCAGCCAGCACCCCCAGATCCCTTTCTGCAGGGCTGCTCTCCAGCCACTCCTCTCCCAGTCTGTTACGTGCATAGAGAGATTGCTCCCTCCTAGGTGCACAATCTGCCATTTCTTCTTCTTCAATTTCTGGCTGTTAATCATTGCCCAGTGCTCTAATCTATCCTGCCTGCTCCAGAAGGTGTCAGCTGTATCCCCATTCCCTACAACTCTTTGAGCGCTGCTGTTCAGCCAGTTCTTTACCCATCGCTGCATGTACGTTCTCACATCACAGTTGGAACAATTGTGTAGGCGTATTCCGACAGGGCCAGAATCGGAAACCTTACTAAAATTGAGAACTGTACATCCACTGCCTCCCCTTTACACTCATTCTTAAATGTTTATAAATCCTTGAAGCCAGGGAATGAGGTGAAGGGAGCCGGGCTCTCCTCAGTAGCGCGCGTTTGCAGGACAAGAGGCCTTGGGCACAAGTGAGAAAGGATGGAATTCCACGGGCAAAAGCAGCAAGTCTTGCTCAGTGTGAGTGTGGTCAAGGAGTGGAAGAGGCTCCATCCTGGGAGATACTGAAAATGTGAGCGGCCGTGGAACCCGGACAACCTGCTGCAGCTGTCCCTGCTTGCGCAGAGGGAGTAGAAGCACCTGCTCTCCAGAGGTTCCTGCCAAAGTAATGATCCCGTGATTCTGTTTGCTGGGAGAGCTGGAGAGTAATGCTGTGGAAGACAGTTAGTCAAGTGTGTGCTGGCACAGGAAGGACCTCATCAGAGGTGTGTGTAGGGGAGTGTTGTGCTATCTACCCCTTAGTTTGTGCAAGAATGGGCTTGTGCCACATTCTGGAAGCCCCCCAGGTCCAGTCTGTGTTGGTGGTGACGCATTTCTGAGGAGAGGTCTTGTATCCCTTTTCCACCCACTACAGCAATGGCAGTTGAGCCCTGGCTTTGTGCTGGGTAAAGTGGAAGGAGCTTTCGGAGAAGAAAAGAAGTGTTATAGTCTTTGACTGGGATGCAGAAGAACTTTATTGAAGAAAAAAAATGGAAAGCTAGGTCGTCTGAGGTGCAGTAGGGCGACCATCAGCAGAGGTCCCTTCGGGGCAGTAGAATTTTCCAAAGCACCACAGCCTTCCTACCCTACAGTTGGAGCAGCCCGCCTGAGGTCCCCAGTGAGCTTTGGCTTTGTAGAAGGTGCCTGTGGCAGGAGATTCGCGGACATAGCAGGAAAGCGGATGCAAGGAAGACAGTTGCTGAAAAAGAGGAGGTACTTGGGCAATGTTTCCAGGAAACCTGGGCTGCCCCTTCACTGCTTCCATGTTTGGTGCTTAGAGAGGAGGAGCCGTTGACATCAAGCTCATGTGACAATGCACCTTAGCAGGGGTAGCAGCCTCTCCCGGCGCCGAAGCAGCCCAGGCCGCCCAAGCCGTAGCCGTAGCCGAAGCCGAAGCCTCCGGAGGAGACGGGCACTCCCTGGGAGCTGAGGACGTTGCCCACGGCAGCCGATGAGGAGGATCCGACGGCGGTGCTCTGGGGGAAGGAGCTGAGGATGGGTCCTGGCAGGGTGACCACCACGGTGGAAGGCTGGATGACGACGCGGGAGTCCTCGCACTGCCTGACACAGGGCTCGTTGCAGCTGTTAGCCAGCGGGGTGGGTCCGCAGGGGCGGCAGAGGTCGGAGCAGGCCATGGCTGTGATGTGGAGGGGCCCTGGAAGAGAGGGGGGTGAGAAAGCGGAGGGGCGGTGGTGCAGGAGGGCGAGGGAGTGGGGAGGCGTGGTGTGGGGCTGTGGGGAGCGTGGCTGCGGGGAGGCGTGAGGGCTGCTGAGGCTGGGGCCAGCAGAGCGTGCTGGAAGAGCCGGGCCAGGCAGGCCAGGAGAAGGAGGGGAAGGGGGTTGAGGCTCACCTTGTTGAGCGCGGAGGAGAAGGCGTCAGGAGAAGGGTGTGAGGGAGAGAGGCGCTGGGCCGGCTTTTATGCGGGTGCCCAAGGGGCGGGACAGCCTTTGCGCGTGACGGCATTTTGCAGCAGGCGGCTCTTGTGTGCCACGACCTCGCCAATAATGAGGTGGGGTGTGTTTCTCTTCCCACAACGCTCACTTTTCATGTCCTTTTCTGGAGGACGTGTACTCGTGACACTGGAGGCAACTTTTAAGTGCGAGTAATAGAGGAAAATTGCATTAATGTTGGTTCTTTGTGTCAGAGCATTTGGTAGATGTTGCCGAAATGTAGATGTGCTTGTCAACAATGAGGTCAACCCAATGCATTCGTGTGTTGTGGCTTGCGGTATGTTGTGTAATGGGGTCTCCAGTTCCTCACAGCCCTGGCAAACTGGTCTGGTCTTTGCAGTTGTGTCAGGCACAAGGCATTGACCCTGCCATGGCGTTCAGTCCCTCCCCACCTCACCGCCAGCTCACTAAGCTTCTCTTTAGACCCGGGCTTTCCTGTCAGCTGCTCTGTGTGTGTCTTGTTGACCCTCTGGCTTGTTAGGCTGTGGCTGGGAGAAAGGCGGCTGCCTGTTTGGGCTTGCAGCCCCTTGGGGCCGTCCCTGGGGGTGGCAGTGCCAGCAGGCAGAGGAGGGCTGTTTGCGAGAGCAGGCCGTTGGCCTGGCAGCCCTGGTTCAGAGCTGGCAAGCCCTGTGCTGTGGGGAGGCCTGCCCTGCTCCCCAAAGGCTTGGGTTGGCCCCTCCGGAGCAATCGCCTCGGCAAGGGCTGGTAAGTTTTCAGCCTGGGCTCTGGTGTCATGTGTCCAAAAAAGAGCAACAAAGCTGGTGAAGAGTCTAGAGAAGAACAATGAATGGGGAATGCTTCAAGCAACTTGGCTGCTTTAGTTTCCCGAAAAAGAAAGTTGTGCAGGGATGTTATTTCTCTGTACAACTGCTTGAATGAAGGTTGTATGTAGGTGCCTGTCAGTCTCTTATTTCTAGTAACGAGAGATAGAGGAGGAAACAGCCTCCAGTTATGTCCAGGGAGCTTTGCATTGGATATGAGGAACAATTTGTGCACCTAGAGTGTCATCACGCCCAGCAGGACATGCTGGGGGTAGAAAGGCTGGAAAGCAGCTTTTCTGAACCCTGCTTTGTGTTGCTGCTTGGGAGAACGAGCTGACTGCAAGGTATCATTGTGCTGTCATGTCTGAAGGGGACAAGTGTCTCCAGGGTGTCATTGGGAAGATGGTTGGCAGGAGGTTGGGGAGGTGATCCTGTACTCTCTGCAGGGCTGGTGAGGTCCCATGTGGAGTCCTGTGTCCATTGAGGGCTCCCCCATGGAAGAAGGACATGGACTTATTGGAATAAGGTAAGTGCTGGGCCACCCAGATGCTGAGAGTAGTAGAGCATCTTTACTATGAGGGGAAGCTAGATGATCTTGGCGGGTTTTCAGGCATGAGTCAAGGCCATGCTGGGAAGATGTCATCAGTGTGTCGAAATCGCAGGTGGGAGGGCAGATGGGCAGAGGAGTGAGAATCCTCGTATGGGTGCCCATGGACAGTGCAAAGGTGAATGGAGAAGGCTGAAAAGATGTGCCATTTCCTTGGAAGGGAAGGCAACCCTTTTTTGGTGTGAGAGTGGTCAAAGAGTGAAACTGGTTGTGCAAAGATGTGCTGAATTCCCATGCCTGGAGACACTGAAAACCTGTGTGGACGTGTTTATGGACATCGTGCTCGATCTGGCCATGCTTGAGGAGGTTGGGATGGAGACGTTGAGCTCCGGAGGTTGCTTGCACTCTCAGTGATTCTTTTTGCCGTGTTTCTCTTTGCTGTGATGGCCAGAGTTGTGATGAGCAAGGGAGTGGGTCAGTGGGGAGCAGAATGAAGCCCTCATAGTTCAACGGAGATGGTTAGCGACCTGCTAGAGCGCTTGGACATGCACAAGTGTGTGGGAACAAAATGATCCACCCACGGGCATTGAAGGAGGTGTTGGATGTGCTCTGCAAGCCACTTTCAAGCACTTCTCAGCACTCCTTGGCTAACCGGGTAGGTCCCAGCTGACTGGAGATTAGCAAAAGTGAGGCTCATGTGCAAGAAAGGCTGGATCGAGGATGTGGGGAACTACAGTCCTGTGAGTGTGACCTCAGTGCCAGGCAAAGATATGGAGCAGATCATCTCGAGAGCCTTCACTTGGCACCTACAGGGCAACCAGGTGATCAGGCTCGGTCAGCATGGTTTTATGAAAGGCAGGTCCTGCTTGACTATACTGATCCCCTTCAGTGAGAGGAGAGGAGAGGCGTTGGGTGTTCTTTCCCTGCAAGTTAGTAAAGCACTTGATGCTGTTTCCTACATCATTCTCCTGGAGAAACTAGCTGCTCATGGCTTGGACTGACATACTGTTTGCTTGGTAGAGAACAGCTGGATGTTTGTGCCCTAAGAGTTGTGGTGAATGGAGTTAAATCCAGTTGGTGGCCAGTCACAAGTGGAGTTGCCCGTGGCTGAGAGTTTGAGCCAATTTTCTTGAATAGCTTTATCAGTGATCTGGAGGAGGGGATAAAGTGCACCCTCAGTAACATTGCAGACATCAGCTAGTTGGGTGGGAGTGTCGATCCAGTAACAAGTGACACGATGAAAGGAAAAGGCCTCCAGTTGTGCCAGGGGAGGGTTAGATTGGATATTAGGAAACATTTCTTCACTGAAAAGTTACGAGGCATTGGAACTGGCTGCCTTTAGAATTAGTTGAGTCACCATCCCTGGAGTTATTTAAATGCTGTGTCGATGTGTTGTTCAGGGATGTGGATTAGTGCTGGACTTGGTAGCATTAGATTAACGGTTGGACTTGGTGATTTTAAGAGGCACTTCCATATAATTTGTTTTATGGTGGTGTGTGTTGTTGTAGTTGCTAAGGTCATACTCGATAGGTGAGGTCTTGCAGCCCATTTCCACTCAGCCCAGTGGGTTCCTGAGCCCTGTCTTTGTGCTGGGTGAGGTTGGAAGAGCCTTGGGAGAAGAAAGGAAGTGGAGGCATTTCAAGCGGGGATGCAGGAGAATTTTATTGAGAGAAAAAACCAGGGAGAATGCAGGATCGCCGAGTGGAAGGGAGCTGGTCTGATGGAGAAGTACGGCGACCATCAGCCAAGGTCCCTTGCATGCAGTAGATCACCCAGCTGTTCCTGTTCTGCAGTGGGAGCATCCCACCAGAGGCTTGATGGCCTTTCTCTGCTGAGAAGGTGTTTGCAGCGGAGAATATTGGACATAGCAGGAGTGGCGATGCAAAGAAGACAGTTGGAGAACAGGAGGAGGTACATGGGTCATGTTTCCAGGAAACCGCAGCTACCCCATCCTTGCTTCCTTATTTATTGCATAGAGAGGAGGAGCCGTTGATGTTGAGCTCGTGTGTCAGGGGCCCTTAGCAGGGGTAGCAGCCTCTCCCGGCGCCGAAGCAGCCCAGGCCGCCCAAGCCGTAGCCGTAGCCGTAGCCGAAGCCTCCGGAGGAGACGGGCACTCCCTGGGAGCTGAGGACGTTGCCCACGGCAGCCGATGAGGAGGATCCGACGGCGGTGCTCTGGGGGAAGGAGCTGAGGATGGGTCCTGGCAGGGTGACGAGCACGGCGGGAGGCTGGATGACGACGCGGGAGTCCTCGCACTGCCTGACACAGGGCTCGTTGCAGCTGTTAGCCAGCGGGGTGGGTCCGCAGGGGCGGCAGAGGTCGGAGCAGGCCATGGCTGTGGTGTGGAGGGGCCCTGGAAGAGAGGGGGGTGAGAAAGCGGAGGGGCGGTGGTGCAGGAGGGCGAGGGAGTGGGGAGGCGTGGTGTGGGGCTGTGGGGAGCGTGGCTGCGGGGAGGCGTGAGGGCTGCTGAGGCTGGGGCCAGCAGAGCGTGCTGGAAGAGCCGGGCCAGGCAGGCCAGGAGAAGGAGGGGAAGGGGGTTGAGGCTCACCTTGTTGAGCGCGGAGGAGAAGGCGTCAGGAGAAGGGTGTGAGGGAGAGAGGCGCTGGGCCGGCTTTTATGCGGGTGCCCAAGGGGCGGGACAGCCTTTGCGCGTGACGGCATTTTGCAGCAGGCGGCTCTTGTGTGCCACGACCTCGCCAATAATGAGGTGGGGTGTGTTTCCCTTCCCGCAACGCTCACTTTTCATGTCCTTTTCTGGAGGACGTGTACTTGTGACACTGGAGGCAACTTTTAAGTGCGAGTAATAGAGGAAAAATGCATTAATGTTGGTTCTTTGTGTCAGAGCATTTGCTAGATGTCGCCGAAATGTAGATGTTCTTGTCAACAATGAGGTCAACCCAATGCATTCGTGTGTTGTGGCTTGCGGTATGTTGTGTAACGGGGTCTGCAGTTCCTCACAGCCCTGGAAACCTGGTCTGGTCTTTGCAGTTGTGTCAGGCACAAGGCATTGACCCTGCCACGGCGTTCAGTCCCTCCCCTCCTCACCGCCAGCTCACTAAGCCTCTCTTTAGACCCGGCCTTTCCTGTCAGCTGCTGTGTGTGTGTGTCTTGTTACCCCTCTGGCTTGTTAGGCTGTGGCTGGGAGGAAGGCGGCTGCCTGTTTGGGCTTGCAGCCCCTTGGGGCCGTCCCTGGGGGTGGTAGTGCCAGCAGGCAGAGGAGGGCTGTTTGCCAGAGCAGGCCGTTGGCCTGGCAGCCCTGGTTCAGAGCTGGCAAGCCCTGTGCTGTGGGGAGGCCTGCCCTGCTCCCCAAAGGCTTGGGTTGGCCTGCCAGAGCATTCCCCGAGCCGGGGCTGGGAAATTTACAGTGTGGGCCTTGGCGTGATGCA